CCTCATTTGCTGTGACGTTGCTACAAGCCCTAGAAAGTCAGAAACTATACCCTTTAAAAATAAGGGGTTGATGCCCATCCCAAAAATACACTTCCTTATATCAATGAGCTTATTTTGGTCTATTGTTATTTTGGTGAAGAACAGAAACATATAATAAAAATGTGTACAATATTACCATTTATTTTTGGTGCAATAATTCACAATTACCATCACTAAAAAATTGGCAGCTCGAAGTACGCCAAGATTTATAAAATCTTTTGCGTTGGTATGTCTCAAGCTCAAGATCTATAAAGACTTTATGGACTTTGTGACACACCCCAATTGTGGAATTTCACATCTAATAGCGAAAAATGAGAAATAAGTGAACATTAAAAAAAAAAAAAAAGTACATGACATTCCTTCCACAAGAATAAGTAGTCCTAATAATATAAGGGTGTCGTGTACATAAAGTTGCAATCTTAGATAATTAAAGTAAGATGTACCTCCAAACTTCATCATAAGATATAAATTTGGCTTAAAAAATTCTTAGGATGGCATATAATCTATTTTTATCTCTACTTAACAGAATTTTAAGCTCAAAAAATGGTTCAAATCAAGTAGATCTATAAACGTATGAAAATATTGAAAATTGACGGTCCAAATTCCAGATAATGTGTTACGTTATGTACTTTTTGTTGATAGTTTTCCAACAATAAAAAAAAAAAATTTTAATAAATTTTTATGGTATACTTTAACCCTACAATTTAAAATGTCAACCTTATATAAACTTTTTTTCAATAATATATATCATTGCATGGGGACCATAGTCATGTGTCATGAGTGGAAGAACTTAATTTGGTCCAAAGATATTTTAGCCACTAAAACATTGGCATTGGAATGAGAGACAACTTTATTGAATTCTGCCCAACCTTTTCACGGGTTACAGGGGTGGGCCGCTTTAGATTCCAGCGTGAGAGACTCGCTTTTTCACCCGTGATTACGTCACGGATTCAACTTTCTGTCTTTTTCCGCCAAAATTGACGCTCTCTCCCGCTTGCTACTCGCCTTAAATGGCATTCCTTAATAATGAGAAATTATAAACAGTGGTACCCTGCATGTGCTTTCAAGAATCGAGACATTATTGCGTCACAGTCAATCCCTCTTGTCTATAAATTGAGCTCATGGTAAAGTATATATATATATATATAGAATGAGATCATTTATTTTTTATATAAGGTGTTCGCAATAATTATGACCAATAAATGTAAAGTTGGATGATTGTAATTCTTCTATTGATCAAGCTCAATTTCAAAAAAAAATTTCTCGAGCTTTGCGATATAGTTAAGCTATCAAATTTCACATAAGATGTTGGTAAAGGATTGTGACGTACCAAAAGTAAATGATCTCATTGCATAAAGTCGAAATTTCAACTCTCTTTCTTTTTTGAAATAAGTTACTATGAATTTCATTCACCCATGAACGATTACAATGAGGTTCAAGAAGAAAATGATGTCACCACCAATGAATGTTGGTGCACACCGTCCTTTGCTAAAGCATAAGTTTGTATATTAGTCTCCTTGAAACAATGAGATAACTCAAACGAACCACTATTTAAATGAAAAAATATTTTGTCGAAAATACTGCATAATCTCCAAGGTTGCTTCATTTCTCCTTTTGCCTAAGCAATGACAGTAATTGAATCACCTTCAATCATCTTTTGGCTCTTGAGGTTCTTTATTTTCTTTAAACCCTCCAAAAGAGCTCTCGCCTCAGCTTCATTCGATGTTGCATGTCCACGTGGTCCTGAGTAAGTGAATTTGTAATTATCTATATGATCTCTAATGATACTGCCATAACCTGTTGGGTCTGAGTTTCCAATCGAGCTTCCATCGAAATTTCAACTCTTTTTCACTTTCACGTAAAGGGAACGTGGGAAATTGTACCAAAAATGATTGGATTCAAAAGAATTGTCGGAGATAGAGATCACAAAGGAAAAAGGTGTCCATGCAATTTATATGTTACCTCGCGAAGGTTAGTGCACTAATTAGCAAATGCGCGGGTTGACCCGGACCTGCCTGGGTTATTTGGAGTTTTGGATCCCCAATGGGCGTATCTGGTTGAGCTCAATTTTAGTTGTCAAGTTTGGAATTTTAAAAAATTTATAACATCTATATATATATATATATATATATATATATATGTTGCGACTCGCCAGAGTAGGCACAGAAATCGGTAACCCAATGCCTATTACAGACACGGAAATCGATAACTTCGTGCCGATTACATCGCAAAACCGAAATCGAAAACTGCCAGATTTTGGCGGTTCTGAACCATAAACCACCTATACAACCGTCACAAACTGGGGAGAACCGGTGTTCTGACGGTTCTGAACCATAAACTGTCTATATGACGTCATAAACCGGGGGAGAACAGGTGCGAGTAACCCCGTGCCGATTACATCGCAAAACCAAAATCGAAAACCGCCCGGTTCTGGCGGTTCTGACCCATAAAACACCTATACGACCGTCATAAACAGGGGAGAACCGGTGTTCTGGCGGTTCTGAACCATAAACCGCCTATACGACGTCATAAACTGTGGGAGACGTGCCGATTACATCGCAAAACCAAAATCGAAAACCGCCCGGTTCTGGCGGTTCTGAACCATAAACCACTGCCCGGTTCTGGCGGTTCTGAACCATAAACCACCTATACAACCGTCATAAACCGGGGAGAACCGGTGTTCTGGCGGTTCTGAACCATAAACCGCCTATACGACATCATAAATAGGGGGAGAACCGGTCGAATCGGTCAAAACCTCAGTCACACATGGCAAGCCTCAAACACCACAGCATCGCAGCCCTGCGTTTTATCGCGTGCGTTTAGAGTTGTACAATGAAACTATTTATACAACAAATTTTGATACTCATGCTTGGATGTGGGATAATTCCTATAAGATGCATTAAATTAAAATAGATATTAAATAAGTATTATTAATATGAAAAGTTAATACACTTGTAACTGCGTGGCTTTATGGTTATAGCTTAATGGACACCTCAGGTTCGAACCACGAGCACGTCACATTATTTTATTTATGTTGTAAAAAAAATAAATTTTTGTTGTAAAAAAATAAAAAAAATTTATTTTTGTTGTAAAAATAATAATTTTTTGTTGTAAAAAAATAAAAAAAAAGCAAAAAATAATGTTGTTATAAAAAAAAATTATTCTATTTGAAGTTCTCTCTTTCTATTAACAATCTTTTTTACTAAATTTATTCTAGAATCTAAAAAATTAAAATTTTGAAAAATTGAAATGTTGTTTAAAAAATTGGTACCCATTCAAATAATTTCTATATTGACAACCAAACTTTTATTTTATTTATTAATTTTTAACATTATAAATCATGTAATATATTATTTTTGTTGTGAAAAAAATAAAAAATAAGCATAAAATAGTGTTGTTAAAAAAAAAAAATTTCCATTGAAATTATATCTTTCTATTAACAATCTTTTTTACTAAATTTATTCTAGAATCTAAAAAATTAAAATTTTGAAAAATTGAAGTGTTTTTTCAAAAATTGATACACATTCAAATAATTTCTATATTGATAACCAAAAATTTATTTTATTAATTAATTTTTGCATTGTAAATCATATAATGTACTATTTTTTTTACAGTTGTCAATAATACATTTTAAATTAGATGATATTATAAAATATTTTGGATTTGTTATTGTTTGTATAATACAATAATTATAAAACGTTAACCAACAATTTTAATTTCAGTTGTAATAATTTTGGATTATAATTAGGTTGTAATAATTTGGGTTTTTTGAGCGGATTAGGGTTTTCAGCCAATTCGAGATTTTAGTGGCCATTTTTTCATCGATTTAGTCTACTATTTATTGTAGTCTATGTATGATTGATATACTTTATCTTTGATAATTCTATGATTTTTCTTTTGTGTGATGTAAATTTAGTGATTAACATAAGTTTATACAAGAAAATAACGTCTCAATATTCACAAATTGATGAAAAAAATATATGAAAGTTAACAATGTAGTACCCTCGTTTCTTATTGGATTCCTAAAAGATAACATTTATAATGAATTTTAATAATTTTTTTAGATTTTTTTAAAGCTTAATCCAACCGAGTCAGACCATTCCTGATCCGAATCATCGATTCACCGATCCAGATGGGTTTTTGGAGTTCCCGATTAGGGACATC